AAAGCGCCCCTCCCACTTCTGGGTAAGCTAGCACCCATTGCAGCTGTCTCTCTGCATGGTCATCTTTCTTTTTCACCATCATCTCCGCTTTCCTCTTCTTATTCCCAAGAAATATTATCAGACGGCTATCGGGGACATCACAGATTCGATGATGGATATCGGATGGCAATGGATGACAGCGTCACTGCATGTGACGTCATATAAGGAGTTTTATTCGTATAGAAGCGACGTGAAGAGATAGATGCCCCCCCCCCTAAACCCCACATGCGAAAGAAAAACCGTACACAATGACTTATTTTTTTAATCATGTTAATTGAGTGATATGAATACATTTTCCGCTTAGAGTCAGAAGAGCTTTATAACTCAAGATGAAAAAAGGATAATGTGGCTTAAAGTCCTTCTGACCATCAACATAATAGCCACATGCAGGCAGAAGATAGTGATGAACCATCAAGAGAAATCACTTGCAATTCATGGTAATGAAATGGGGAATGGCAATCGTAGAATGGAGAAGATTTCGTTCTCTTTAGATATATTACCCTCAAAGTAAACATTCTTCCCTCTCCCGTTATAGGCATTTCATCTGCAGTATGGAAAGCTAGCTAAAATAATGTAAACATTGACAATTTACATACGGATATCATCCAATATTACATAACAAAATATAATTATTACATTCGTCGTATTAGTATATAACATAAAGTTCGATATATGGAAAGATACATGGAGACAATGTAAACGTTAACAATGTACATAATTATGGCTATATACATCCTCATCTCCTAACGGTTGCTTCAAGTTTTTGTTCCCCTTTAAATTTGTGCCATCTTTTCACAAACCGAGTCGACATAGGACCGATTTTTCTTATCAATTTACCATGTAACACAATGTGCTTATATTATGCTTGAAAATTGGTCCAGTATGCAGGGTAATAATGATATATGTGACGCAAACAAGTAATTATTTACAGCAACAACAAAAAACATCTCAAATTCAAAAGTGAGCGTAACTATACACAAGTATGTCATACTCACCAAAGAGCAAATGAAGATCCTTTCTAGCTTATAAATCTGGAGCTAGACCAACCAATGGTTAAAAATATCCATATAATACTCCCATCATCAAAGTTCGACGATGAAAAAAGGTTTAAAAGTTAAAGCAGGGTATTTGTGCTTAATCCGGTATGAAATCATTGGATAACGTCCCACCCTCGCTCCGTCGCTTACTCTCTTTTTTTTTCCTTCTTTCGCTATAGTCGAGAGCAGCTCTGCACCTAATCATATCATCATCATAATATCTGAATCCTCGTCAATTTATTGTCAACTTTGAACTCTTGATAAACTATCTTCATTTCCCCCCTCCTCGCCGAGCTCAAAATAGATTCGCCGCAAACAGTGGCACACACCGCTTGACTGAATGTGCACACGACGTGAATGCATGCGAAATGACCTATGGACGAACTAACCGTTGCGTTGCTTTTGAGTGCGAAAACTTCCTTCTCACTTTTTGGTTCTTAATACCGTCTGCTGAGACCTGCCATGGGCGTGTTCATACAAGGTGCACCGATTTCGCGAAAGCCCTCCTTAATGTCACCATATTCATTGCATGTTTTTCAGCAAATAAGATATGTTTTTCTAAAGTAAACTCTTTATAATTATGGTGTCATCAAAGCTCTTTATATTTACAAAGTATTTTCTTACCAATTTATAAGTAATTCATACTTACTTATACATTGTCAAAAAGCACTTAAAACTAGTATTATAATAGCGTATGGATCATAAGTTAGTTGTTTTTTCTTGACTAAAAAATATTAGTCATTTGGCTAACAAATGTCTTATTCAAGCTTATCGAAATTCTCATTCGTTTGGTTGGCCTATATTTTAAATTTGTATAATGCTTTGGACTTCATTAACCTCACAGAAAGAAAGAAAAAAACCTACCAGAATAGATACTGCATATCATCATATTCGACGAGTGTATTATCAGGTAGCGAGCAATCTAGTAAACATATTAGATGGCATTGAATCTATATTAACTTGTGATATAAAGAGAGGAGATGATAAATACATAGACAATGACTATGGGATAAACATGAATGTCCAAGGTTTCTCAAATTCGGCCCCGCCCTTTCTAATGACGAATAAGGTGTGTTAATAACGGTTAATACAGACGCTGTGTCATCTAAAGGGAAATACCTCTTTTACTTAAAGGTCTGATCGGGCATTGAGCCAAGACGGCTTGGCTTTCTTTGCAAAATTTGAAATACACTTGCATTACATGATTGATTGATTGATTGATTGATTGAGTGAGTGAGTGAGGGATTAATTTATTGATTGACTGATTGAATAAATAAATGAATGATATATTATGGAAAATATACCTTTTTACCAGGTCAGATCAGGCATTGAGCCAAGATAGCCGAAAACCAAAACGTTCAATCATTTAAAAAAGTACTGATGATTCTATAATTCGTTAATTATTCTTGATGTAACAGCATCATAATTATATGGAGCATTTGAATTTAGAGTGTAAAACTTGTTACGATACATCTTGACTGCAATCATAAGATCCAGGCGCTGTATGTGTAGTGATTATCATTATAAATAATGAAACGGATGGCATAATTTTACATACGGCGACTAAAAAGTTTTTGCGATTGACGGATAGTCGCAGATTTTCAACTAAAGAGATATCGTCTTTACTCCAGTATATTTCTACAAAGTTAATAAGAGATAGCTTTTATTTATGTCTCCTCGGGCAAGACTCCCACTTCTTCACTTTGTGACGAGATGAGACTTTATGAACAGATAGAAGAAGATGGGACAGGCTATCGGGCCTTGTTCAACATCCTAATTTAATTATCGAAGTAATTATGTTGACATTATCTTAAATCTGCATCAATGTAGCAAATGTAGTGAATTTCGTATGGAGCCGGATATATATAATGACGTTCGCGAACGATAAGCAAACACTCTAGACGTTTAATCAGCATTTAAAGGGCAAAGAAAGACCACTTTTGTTTCTTCAAAACATCAGATTAACACTTTTAACATGCTAAAATCAACATTCATAGTGTTGGATCCAGCAGGTTCAACGGGTTTAATCTACCATTTTGAAAACAGTGGTCACTCTTCGGCCCTTCTAAGTTCTAAAAGGTGATTTAACATTTTAGTTTTGAGAGAGTAACAATACTTTTCATGAAATTGAAAGAGAGCATGAGGGGAGAAAGATGAATGATTGCGAAACGGAATTATCACAGAAAAATAATCATCTAAAAAAACACAAATAAAATCAATATTATCAGTCCAATAATGCAAAATGAAAGGATGGCGGATGAGATCAATGACAGCGTTCAAACTTAATTGAGGGTCCGGAAAGAAAAAATAATCATAAACGCTGAATGACGATAGAAATTCGAAATAATGTTCTATACTAATTTCATTTTTAAAATATATCATGCCTTTTGTCCATGCGTATCTTTCTATTTCATAATCTGAATTCGATGTCATCGCATCCCCTTGTTGAATGTAGGATTTTATCTTTAAAACATTAAGCATTATTCAGCGCTTCAAAACACTTTCACCGGTTATCTACGCACAGACTAAGACTGAAATCACAAGCGTGAATACACCTATAATGAGTGGATATTTCTAGTTCAGCCCTGGGACGTTCAAAGAGATAGAGAAAACCTAAACTTAAAATACGGCGTCCCCTCTTTGGGACTATTACAGCCTATATAATTACAGCACTGATCGCTATGGTTAACCACTGGTACGAAGAATGTCCGGGCTTCACCGAGCAGCACCAATTGAGCGTTTCCGCCAAGACTCCCGGGGAGGAAGACGGGTAGCCCTTCGCTGACTCAGAATAACCCGTGTTCACATTTCAAACCAACTTCAAGCTGGGAGCATTCAATCTGATGACCTTTTCATCGCTAGCTAGGGCATACTTACCTGAGAGAGGCAGGAGTGGGAAGGAGCCCCCTCTCTTCCTTTCCTCCTTTGCAACCGATCCGGGGCATCCTTTGAGAAATAACAGCGCAGTTTACAAATCAATTCAGACTTAGGCCTGACGTGCTTCTTTCTCAGGTGTCTTGCATCAAAACATGATCATTCTTATTTATGTAGATACTGGATCTGTATTTCTAAATTGTTATGGATATTTTGAAGATTATGACGATTTTTCCTATCAATGAGATCCTTAAAGTTTTCATACGTTCAACATATTGAAGAATCCGTGTGATGATGGCAATCAGACCTATTGTAGTATAATAATCTAGTCATTTAATTTTCATACGTTCTCGTCTACCAATCCAGATTAACAAATCCATTAATAAGCGAATGATATTAGTCGGATTAGTTGATTATAGTCGAATCCCGAAAGAAAAAAAGAACTGAAATTATTCACTACTTCAATAATTACTCCACCATACAAAAAATCTATCTAACAATAATTATTAAAATAGATAATTTAATCATCACTCAGGCACGCAATATTAAAAGTGACAAGTAAACTAATTTTATAGCAATAAAAATATGTATCCATGCACGTATCAATCAATCCTCCAGCCACGAAACCTACTAAAGTTGATACTTATATATATATATCATATAAATATCACTCAGCCAGAACTCATCCATTAAACAATAAAAAAGAAGACATACACATAATTATTAAAGATTGCTAGAAATTTTACTTCTTAAAGACACATGATTATATCTCTTGAAAGACAAGGTAATCAGTATTGAAGGGATATAATTCAAATTTCATGAATATATAATATGCATATTAAAATCACATTATCTCTGTATTTACAAATCATTATGGTAATCATGGTATCAAATATTTGCATGAATTTTCTAATCAAATTATCTGATTATCACTTATTATCATTTATCATTTGACTCAATTTAATTTGAAATCTCTACCTTCTTATTAGTTTCATTTTTATTAAAAATAGAGAAAGTAAGTATTATTCCGTCTTATATAGTGACAGGTACTTTTTGTTTGCCCCAAATCACTCGTATCAAGGCCATTTTTAAAATAATTGAGTCATTGATTAGAATTATAGAGCTAAAAGAAAAATAAACACAAATTATTTACATTAAGTTTTGAAAAATTATATCTATTAACGAACACGTCACATTTGTTCACAGCAATCTACTCGTATATTTATATATGAAGGAAAGTTTCAATATTATTGAGTCAACGTTTGGAATTGCAGAGCTCAAATAGACAAACAAAAATATATTTACACTAAGGTTGCAAAACTATATCTCTTATCGTATTAACGAACACGCCACATATTATAGAAAAGCTGTACGTAAAACATAGCATTTAATAATTCCAGACAAAACAAACTGAGAAATGTGAAAGCCAAAAAAGGCACACTATAATCTCCGTTTGCATTTCGTTTTTGCTGCAATATTTCTTTTATAAACTCTACAGATTTATAATTCCTCTTATTTGACAACTTTCTTCTTCCTTTTTGTTTTTCTTGTTCTAATTGTTGCTGCTTGGCCGATATTTTGTTATGTAAGTTATGCACCTGAAAATGTGCTTACCTTTTTGTTATTGTCAGAAAGAATTTCAGAATCCTGCCCCCTTCTGTTTTTTGAAAACCAGGGCCCATATTTATAAAACCTCATCAGACTAATTGTCAACTGATTAAATAGGCTATAGCATTTTGTAAGATGACAACTAGGCTTTAGGCAGTATGCTGAGCATATCTCAATCTTCTCTATTCTTTTATTTTTCTTTCCTTTTCTCCATTACAGCGCATATGCGTTATATAAGTATGGCTTATTATTATTATTAACTAACTACATAGGCCTAGGCTTTATGGTTGGGTTGAATATGAACCCAGGATCTGATCCACAAAATCTTTGACCTAGCGTTCCACTTCTGGAAGCTTCCTCATTAATTTCATGCAATTGATTATTTGATCGTGTTGTCTGGGATAACTGCTGCCGACGACCGTTTCTTCCTTATCCATTTTTCCTCACATCAATCAAAAGACAGACGTATCGGTAGCAGTCGTCGAAACTGTGGACTTTTCCCCAAAAGCTTCTTTCCTGCCAACTTTAATTGAAAGGAGAAAAAACACATAATTTAGGGAAAGATTTCACCTGTTAGCAGAACTTTTGATTGAATCTGTTCTTAAATTCATTTATTTTCCCCTTCAATTTTTACATCAACATTTTCGAGTTTGATCTACAATAAAGGAATGTACGGCAAAGTTTGACAATTGTAGATTGAATTATATCAAAAGGTGTTTTGATACACATTGACCATATTCATTCTTTCTTTCTATCAAACTTATTGGATATATACAGTAGGCTTGCGGGTGCACCATGTGTGAGAGAGAGGGAGGATTAAGGAGTCCTGAAAAGGACTCTCGGTAATCTTTCTTGAAGGTGTGTAGTCCTGAAAATTGAATATATGACTAATAAATATACAGTGGACTGATGAATATACATGAGACTGATGAATATACATGAGACACTAGCTCTGAGGACGGTGTGTTAATAAGTAGGTGAGTCCTGCAAAGAACCGCAAACTCGGTGATTGTCCAGGATCTAAAATCAATATCGTAGTTATCCTGTAATCAAATTCAGCATATCGAAAGTAATACAAAAGTTCAAATTTAACTAGATAAACAAAAACAATTACCCGCTGAAACTTTATTTGTGCTTGTAGTTGACCGAAATCGACCACCAATCTAGGATAGAAAAAGGAAAAGGAAAGTCAAAGGTAAAGTAGAGATTAGAGAGCATTATAGCATGATAAATAATTGTTTGAAAGAGTTAAACTTTGATGTTTGTCCAATAAAATTTGTAGACATTTGAACTAAATGTGTATTAGGAAGTGTAATTAGGAAAGCACTTGAAATATACATGTTCATATCTTGCTTAAAACAATTATCTCTAAAAGCGTTGTCACCGTGTATCTAATCATTATTGTATGTGCACCATCTCTACCCCAAAGGACTCCTCCTACCACCACATTATCTTTATCGTAAGGACATGTGATAATTCCATTCAAACGGGTTGTCAGCATCCTACCAGGTACCCATACCTCTCCTGTGTACGAACCGTCAATTTCATTTTGATGTCATGCACAAAGGCGTTATTCTCATCCAGGAGCTCTAATTCATATTTTAAAGTTTAATATTTGATAGTGATGATCTTTTTAATTGATGAGTCGTATATTATACGTTGTTAATACCATTGATAACTTTAAATTTTGTGAACAGCATCTCACTAAAAATGTTTTTGTTAAATATGAATATAAACCTTACCGAGTGGTTGCTTGGGATGGCATCAAACTGTTGTTTGGAGCGCTTGTATCTTAACTTGACTACCTTCATGACGTCATCGTTAGTAAAGCAATGAAATATACATATGAAGACGCCCTGTAAAGTTTAAAGTGATATGTACAGGTATACAATTGATTATTAACAATAGATTCTACCTCAAGCGTGCTTATATAATAAAGTCTTACAGGTATGGGAAATGGATGCGACGTTTTTCGATAAAGCAATCTGCCTGATCTTGAGCTTAAAATTGATATTAAGCAGTTGGTATCAGTGGTACCTACTCCCATCGCCAAGCCATGCTGAATGAGTTTTGAAGGGCTGGATAGACAAATAAGATTGACAGTTTATACAGTGCCTCCCTGTCAAAATGATCCTAGATCTTTCTCAGTGAGCCCTCCCCCATCTCCCCCCCCCCCCCCGCCTTACTCTCAGCATGCCCCTAGCATGAACAAATATCGTCGCTGCCACTGAGTGTATACTTCTTATGACACTTTTATCATACATATCATAAATATGTTCTGATACAAAATAAAGCAAATTATTGACAGTTTTTATGCATAGGAAATGGCCATGACCACAACACCTTAGTGACTGAGGAGCGCAATACTTCTATATAGGACACTAATAATATTATTCGAATCTATTTCCTGGTCTTTACCTGCAGAGAGTTCAGCAAGGCGAAGGCATACTGGAAAAAGATGGTTGACGACCCGGTTGCTAGGAAACCAAAGATCCACGTGATACCGAGGAGAGGGAGCAACACCACAGCAGCTCGAGTTGATCGTCTGCAACAAGTTTTTACATACAAGATAAAATCACATTTTTATATGGAAACTATGAACTCTGAACTTGCAATATCATGAACACGATCAAGTACAAATTTCCTCAAGAAAATTGTCATGAGATGTGTCATGACATGTGTAATTAGATGGTTAATCATTAGTAAATCATCATTTCAACAAATTCAACAGCATGAGAACACGCCCCATCAGCTTCCGTATTGCGTAGGTCATCATGGAAATCATCCAGATTATGACTGTGATCCCTCTCATACTTTGTTCAACTTGTCATCTACTTTAATTGTTACACAGATTTTCGACATTGTAAAATGATTTGAAAATTACCAATTCTTGCATAATAGGTTAGAGCTATTAAGATCAGTGTATCCTAAACAATATTCGGAATAAAATGCGAAAACGAGAAGGAATCGGATTTGTATAGCTATAGATAGATTTATGCAGTGGCGGATCCAGGGGGGGGGGGGGGGGGCCCGGGGGGCCCGGGCCCCCCCCCCTTGAGAAAAAAATCATGCAAAATCACGTGATTTTTACCTTTTTTGGGGGTTGGGCCCCCCCCCTGGCGCTCAAGGGGGGGGGGGTGCAAATTGAAATTTTTTTGAGGATCAAAAAAAAAAAAATGTGCTCACTACCCCCCCCCCCCCCCCCCCCCCCCCCACTGAGCGAATTTTTGGCCGGCGCGTTTTTCAAATTTTCGGGAGCAAAAAAAAAAAAAAAAAAAAATTGTGCTCTGTACCCCCCCCCCCCCCCCCCCCCCCCCCCCACTGAGCGACATTTCGGCCGGCGCGATTTTCAAATTTCCGGGAGCAAAATAAAAAAAAAATTTGGGCCCCCTCCCCTAAGAAATCCTGGATCCGCGCCTGGATTTATGTACCGATCCCATCTGAATAAAGGATGAAGTGTGTTTATACTTTTCTTGTCATAGCGTCTTATATGGTAAATGAAGGGTACCGTAAATGATTCAATAGACATGAGACCAACTATTATTGGAGTGACGAATGGCGTTATTCTCTTGATAGGAAGGTAAGTAATGCTATGATGGAAATGAGAAACAAACAGTACAAGCTGGAAGGTTTATAGAATATACTCACTTGGCTTGTTCAAACTTTGACTTGCTGTTGATGGACTTGATTGTTAAGAATGTCTGCAAGACGACTACTAGCACAATGATGTTCATCTAAAAAAATGGCACATGGAAAAGGACATTAAAACAGCAATCAGAGGTAAAATATGTAGCATGTTTATGAACTCTAAAATTACTGTGACATAAGGTTGGTATCTTTCAAATTTATCGACTCAGAAATAGTCTTCCATTTTTGTTAATCATAAGTCAGTACCACTTGGTGTAGCAACTGGTAACAAATACCCAGGGGCCGTTTCTCGAAACCGTCATAAGTCTAACTTCTTGGACATCCCATGGAAACGTGTGTTATAGAATTACCACACGTTTCTATGGGATGTACACGAACTTAGACTTATGACGGTTTCGAGAATCTCGCCCCAGATTGAACCCAATTTCTCTCTCTAAAGAGCTATATAGCAGGCCTGTGAGATTCCAAACCTAAACGTCATGGTAAATTACCCATTGGTCCAACCAATGTTTGATTTCTCAGAGCACTTATTCCTTTAACAAACACGACAGTGCCAGCGTAGCCCTAAATTGCACCAATTTCTCTAAAGATTCAGCAGGCCTGAGAGATTCGATCGCTAAACTTTGTATTACAGTACCACTTGGTCCCACCACCGGTCTTTTTCTCAAAATATGTTAATACCCTTATGACGAACATGACAGGACCAACAAAGCCCCCAGGTTGCACCATTCTTTCTCGAGAGAGAGCTAGCAGGCCTGAGAGATTCGAACCATAGACTTCATAATTCAGTACCACTAGGTCCAACCACTGGTTCATATTATTATTTTTGTCAGAGCGCTTACCCCATAACAAATGTGACAGGAGTAGTGAAGGTCTATAGATTGTATTCTCATTGTGGGAAATTTGAACCATTAACTTCATGATACAGTTACCACTTTGTCTAACCACTGGTCCACTTCTTACCGCTATGACAAACACGACAGGACCAGCAAAGGCCCAGATGGCACCCCTCTCTCTGGAGAGCCAGCAGGCCTGTTCTGTCCCGTAGAAATCGATGTTGACCAGGGCTGTGATCATGACTATCAGACCCGGAGTACCTACAAATCAATTAAAAAGGAAAGAAAATGTCTGATTTTGAAGATTTATACAGTATCCTACAATCGTTCATTTTTTGTCTGGTTGCCGCCCCTGTATCTTTGTATCATTTGATATAAAAGTGGAACAATACAAGACCATAATTAGCTTTACATGGTACCAGAAAGATAGATAGGAATAAAGTTTTTTAAATTTCCGACTACAACCCATCGTATTAAAGATAATATTATGAAAAGGTGTGTATTTATTTATTCTTATTTCGAGTTGTGTAAAAAGATTATGTTCCTTCTCAGCGATTATACAAAACATTCACGAACGTTTTTTGGTTCTTGTAAGATTAAGTAACCATGAAAAGTTCCCCGATATCGTTCTTTTATTAAGGTTCAGTGAAACCTGTATATAAAGACCGCTCAAGGGAATAATGAAAAGTGGTCTTTATAGGCAGGGTGTATGCCTATTTATGTACAGGTTCCTTTAGTACAGGTTGCAATGCGAAACCGTATTCAAGGGAAATGAAAAGATGGTCTTTGTATACAGGTGGTCAAGAAGGCAGGTTTGATTGTATACATAAATGATTACCCCATGCAAACACGTGGAATATCTTCAGCTGATAGTTGGTGCTCTTGAAGACACGCGTGGCCCGGAAGTAGATGTGAACCCCTTCCATAAGCATCCAAAAGAAGGTCACCAAGTAGAAGAAATGAAGCAACATGGCGACTGCCTTGCAGCGTTTCTAATGTCGAGAAAAACAGAGAGTGAGCATTTACAACATAGGTGTGTAAAAAAACACAACGTTCAGGATATTCATTGTTCATATTCATAAATATGCCCGGTAAATAATATTATGTAAGAAAACCTGACTTGGCGTGATGGTTTATTACGCAATGGGCCAATATAACAAGAGTAAGGTTCAAAATAAACTTTATCAAATGAGATATATTTCCAAATGAAAACTATGATTGTAAAATAAATAAAAGCCTTTAATAGTACTCTACCGCATCAATACCATTGCAAAATGGAAAAAAAACATGGAAAGCAATGACTTTCATTGACTAGATCTATCTGTATCAGTATTAGCTCTTTTAATGATATGCGTCTACATGAAAAAAATGATTCATAAATGCTGTCAAACGTTGAAAGTTTACCCTTTTTATTTGGTGATGTTTGCATGTTTTACCCATCCACCATTCTCCACTGAAAATATCTTAGCAACATTTTTGAATTAAACAAAAATTAGATTTCCATGTTTTTTCCCCTTCAAAGTGAAATAAATTCTATACCGACGATCATTTCTCGAAAAAAGAGAGTACCTGATCATAGACGTCATCAATACCGATGAGAAAGATGAGGTGACCTACGATCATAGCTCCCATAAGATTGAGGTGAATAATGGCTGCTTCTCGATTATTCAAAGATCTGTATCATCGATGATGAAACAGGAGGGTCATTGGAAAAGAAAACATGTCATCAGTATGTAATAACAGCGCTATAAATGATTGATTTATCATTTTATGCGCGTATAACAAAATATGAATCTATTTGTATTCTTCTAGAGTATCCGCTTGATTTATTATGGGGTAAAATAATTCACAAGTCAGATACACATTACAGGCATGCAAATTGAAAAAACAGATCTAGGAAAAAACGAAATCGTTGCTAATTAGGATTTAAAATATTCCCGAAATTCCAAAGAAAAACACAATTTGTTCATGAAATAACTAAAATGGAGAGAACTTTACACACAAACCGTCTATTGAGAGACAAAAGGGCGTTAACTCATATAGTTATACACAGAATTTATTAACACACACGCATCTTTTTTTATCATGGCTTCAAAACAAAAAACGATCTTTCTTAAAAAAATCCTGCAACAAAAGATTTGACATGTACACACTAAAGTATATTGTTTCTATACTTCCGTTCGTTATTAGCGTCGTCATCGTTGTCGTCATCATCGAATACGACGGACTTCAAGAAATAATGATTGAAATTAAGATATAATAAGATTGAGAACTCACTTCAGCGCGGCTACAATAACAATGAAGCCGGCAGCCAGAAAGACGAGAGATAGACCGATTCCAACTTGAGAGATGATTTGAAGAATTAACTGATCCTTCTCTGAAATCTGAGTGAAAAATAGAAATAAGATAACGGAACTTGAGAATCAATAACCAGGGGCGACAGTCTGTCTTTAGAATTGGGGGTGGGGTGGGGGTGAAAATAGATTAATTGGAATAATTTTCTCCAAAGGACACACACTTCATAACCAAATTATGTTAGGGCAACTATAACTTTATTTGTCTATGCCCCTCCCTCAGGATCAACATCCCTGGTAACCGTAATATTTTTGCCTATGAGAGGTTTATTTAAAATTTTTAATTATAACGACGAAAAAATGTTGTTGCGTTTTTTTCTATTTGTTTTTCTTTACTTCATTATTTAACATCATTCATTTTCCCCGTTAACCTTCCAGATTTTAATCTTTGATTTATTACAAGAAATTTAGGTAAATTTGAATTTTGAAATATGACACTTTATTCTTTGATTCATTACAAGATATTTAAGTAAATTTGAAATGAAAAAAGCTGCAGTATCAATTCCACGAGAGTTTCTACCTCAATGTCGTTTATTTGCAGCAAAATGGCGAAATTTGTCAGGTGGTCGCATGAGCACGTGACATGGGTAGCATTGATGTCACTTGCCCTACATCCTTCGGTTGACCACGCCCCTGTGTAACTAGAGAAATAAAAAGTAGCATAAGATCGTCAAGGTAGAAAGGGCATAGACTGAGCATGACATTTTTCATCAGGACATCTTTTTAACCAAGCTTTGGCAATACTTATATAACTTATTGAGGGCCTTCATGCGATCTTTCATGATACCTTCATGAAACGGTAAAGTTAACAAAACAAAGTTTTTGAAAAATCTTGTCGCAATATATGTTCTGTTTAAAAAAAATATTATGCTACGTCCAGTGAAAAAGGAAAATTCATAAAAATCATCAATAAAAATGCTTACTTATCAGCGGAGAAATCGTAAAAGACACACAGCGATGAATTTTGGGAGCTGTCTTCCTGCATAATTATGAAACAGAATGAAATAAACAAACAAACAATATGAACAGTATGTTATCTTTGTGCCTACTGCATTTAAAGTATAAGATGAATTTGGACCTTTATTATTAACACTGAAGCATTGGCGTGTTAGCACCAGAAGCCAACTATTAATACAACATAATAATAATAGTTTTATTACGATTACTCTTTGCTTGAGGGCAGCTAAAAAAAAGTCTTCATTTACATTAAAAAAAAAGGAAAACAGAATTTCATTCACTAAACAAACAAAAAATACTCTTTGAAAAGTAAATATGCAATATGGTAGGATTAAAGAAATGCTTGGAATTTTACGAGCTGACTGTGTCATTAATTATTACCTCGTTCTCTTTCATGCGTATATCCTGATAATTGACTTACCTGGTTGTTTCTCAGAACAATCGTGATTGGTTCGTTGAAGGAGACAGCGCCATCATCAGCCAATGATACACTAGCACTTATAACCTGGCTGTTGAGTTCAAAACTAACGTTAGATCTAGATAGAAAAATACACATAAGCAATTGTTAATGGGTAATTTATACAAACAAATGAACACTCAAACTAACTAATTAACAAAAGAAACAGACAAGTTGCCGTCATAGTAAGCACTATGAACATGACTGACAAAGAAAGCGGACAAAATATACAGTTCCTCAGTTAAACAAAGGAACATCCCTTCACTGTTATTATGTAAAAATGTGTAGAACAGATGTCACCTGCATATTCCCTTTTTACATAAAAGCAGTGAAGGGATGTTCCTTTCTCTACCTGAGGAACTGTATATTTTGTCCGCTTTCTTTGTCCGTCATGTTCATAGTGAAGCATTCCTTTACACTTTAGATGCCCTTTGCAAAAAGTAAGTTCGCGATGATGTAAGTGGTCATCTACATTTCAAATGCCGCCTAAAACTGTTCATTTAAAAAAGTTAAAACTCCTGAAAATGGTCTGTACAACAGGTGATCTGATAACAGGTAATTCTTCATAGAATTTTTAAAGAGTTATTCGCCAAAGAGATCATGTAGATAAGTCAGTACACTTACCCAGTGTTCTCGACTAGGTTTCCACCAAGAGGGGGCGGTGTTGTATGAAGGATAAACACTGACACCAAGTGACCTGAAACAAAAACGGATCAAAGATGTTTAATGAAATACCGGTGTGATCTCAAATGACGTACAATAGATAAATAATTTCGACACTTTTGTTACCTTTGACCCTTCCGTCAATCGCCCTGAAATCATTCTAACGATGAAAATTAAAAAAATTAGAAAACGGTTTCGAAAGATAAAACGTGTGTGTATGTTTGTGTGTGTTGGGGGGGGGGGGGGGTAGCTAACAATGTCAACTCAAATTAAAAGTATTAGATTATACACGCAATCAAATCTAATAATTAATTTAACTCTTTTGTTTTTTGGTTGCCGTCCGCATAGTCAGATATATTGCTTTTTTTTAATTCATAAATAAGAAAGTTCGTTACCAGTTGCATTTTCGGGGAGGACCACGGTAGGGATGGAGATCTTCGCGCCATCCGACGTCGACGTCGAGTCGCCAGAGGGAAACGATGTCCCCTCGAAGTCAGCCACCGGTACGATCTCGATTGCTACGGCTGAGAGGGATAGGAGAAAGAAGGGAAGGAGGAAGTAGAAGAGGATTGAGAGGATTGGAGATAGGAAGGGACGGAGAGAGGGGAGAGGGAGGGAAAAGGAAAGGAAGGGGAAGAGAGACAGAAAGAGAGAGGGAGGAGGACATGAAAGAAAGAGAAAGAGAAAGATACGGACAGAAAAGAGAGGCAGATAGGAAGAGAAAAACGGTGACAGATGTCACAAAAAGAGGCAGAGAGACAGAGAGAACACGTAAAGATTTAGGGAAAGAGAGTAAGGGAGAGAGAGACAGAGGAGATTACAGACATGATAAACGTCAATATTGATTTAAAGCATTGTCTGGAACATTTTCATCCATTCAAAGTAACAGTTGCATTTATAATTATGTGCTTCGTAGAAATTTCTTTTCTCGTTATCGTCACCATGACCATTAATTTTGAGAGACTCATATTTTGAAGCATATTATTTTCATGGATAAGGTTATTACTTATAAGATATGCTAGAATACTGCTATCAAAACTGATGCAAATGGGTTAAAATGAGTTAGGGATTGTTGTAAAATACATGTGTATGTATATGAGACAATAAGTAATGCGATAAAATGATAATAATTACATACCGGTTTCGCCGACCACGATAGTTGTTTTTAAAGGCTCGTCGTCTGCTAAACCTTGAAGAAGATTGAGAGCTACATTAGACATTGCATTCTCTAGCTCTTTGAGTTGAGTAGCTGCCTCCCTAGATGATACATTGGTGCTTGAACTCGCATTACTACCGACCTGAATGAAAAGAAAAAAAAATTATACAGATTAATAATAAGATAATATTAACTCATTTAAAGCCCAAATCAAGTTATAATTTCTTGCCTCGTACCAACGACACCGATTTCACATTTTCCACTCTCCACTCTCCACCAAGGTGAATAACTGGCAATTGCGGAGATGGCCCCCTGGAAGAACAGCATGGATAATGATGAGGCTACCACCGGCAAATAAAGGTATCATTACTACAGTCAAACCTGCTTTAGTGACCACCTGTCTACAAAGACCACATTTTTTGTTCCCCTTGAAAATGGTTTCTCATTGAAACATGTACTAAAGGAACCTGTCTACAAAGACCACCTGTCTACAAAGACCCTTTTTTTGTTTACTTGGGCGGTCGCTATAGACAGGTTTGACAGTGCTTACTGAAAAGGACGAGATGAGGTTGGCAAGCTCCCGACGAACGACGGTATTGTTTGACGTCATTTTCGTTGTGGTAGGCAAAGGTGTTGATGTGGTAGGGGTCGACGAGGTAGAACCAGAACCTGTCGTTGTGGTAGTAGAGACTGATGCTGATGTGGTAGGTGTTGTTGTGGTGGTAGGCGTCGTTAAGATAGGACCAGTGCTACCTGCATAATCCGTTGTTGTGCTCGTCGTTATCTGTGGGTTGGGCTGCGTTGTGAGAAATGTTGACGATAATAAGCATGGTCAGGGGGGAATTGCCAACAAGACTCTAAATATGATAAATCAACATACACAAAATGTAAAATGGGGGGGGGGGGGTGGGGGAACGTGAGGTTGACACTTACAAGTACCAAGTACTTCTTCTAGAGACGCCTCTGAATACATTTTGTAAACAAAAGAATGTGGGTTTCAGCTTATGTCAAACATATTTGAAATACTTGAAGAAAAGAAAAGAAATAAAACTGACAGTGTTACGAAATGCAAGACAGCAATTGTATCTGTGAAAGCACTTTATACAAAATAATGGTAAAATTCAATTCAATTTTATTTCTGTTTCACACAAAACATAACGAATTAATTATAATCATTTACAACAATGGAGGAATACATATTGGAAACAAGTTTAAGTTGAAAAGAAAAGTTTTAATACTCTCGGTGTTCTGTAGCTATACAGATGACTTGATGAGGCATGGGATAAACCATTGCACTTTTTGTGTCGACGAATTATTTTAAATCGTCGTTATATTTTGGGGGTCAAAATTTAATGTAAGCTAATATATTATTTTAAACAGGAAAAATTGTAAGAGAGGATGTCAACCCCTAAAGTGACTCTCACACTCTGCCGTGTAGGCCTACCGTGTGCCACCGTGCGCGAAAGCGGGCAACACGTTAATAGGGCGTTGGCGCTTATTTACACTCGGTGGGACCCGGCGAAAGTTTTGGGCATGTTCAAAACTTTGGCCGGCTGGCACCGGCCGCAAGTAAGCGGCAAGAGGACGGTGTTGAACGGTATGAGGACGGTATGAATACGTTATGGAAACGGTCACACTGTACAGGGGCGGATCTAGCTTTTTGCTCAGGGGGGGGGGGGGTTGACCAATAATGACGATGCAGAGCATCGTTCACGAGCCGCGAAGCGGCGAGCCGATTTTTTTGGGGTGTTTATTTGAACCCCGTAAGTGATGTTTTCCTGGCATCTATTAACACAATGGAGACCATAAAAAGCAGTGCATGATAACGTCTTTTTAAATCAAGTAACAGTTAAATACACAGTTATATCCAGAGTTATCATGTGTTTGGTTAAGTTACCAGATGAGTTGAATATCTTCTCACAATATTTGCACTTGAAAGGGTTTCTCTCCAGCGTGCGTTCTTTTTTCTTCTTTTTTTTTTCCTTTTTTTTTTTTTTTTTTTTTTTTAATGTGGGGATTTTGGGGATGAGAATCGGCAACGCTGGCCTAGCTTGTCACTTCGGCGGTGGCCCGTGTCCTCAAAAAAGCTGATGGGGGGGGGGGGGGGGGGCAAGGGACTCTGTGACATTTGTTCGCCCAACCCCCCCCCCCTCCCCCAAAAAAGAAATAATAATAATAGACTAATAATAATAATAATAATAATAATAATAATAATAATAATAAATGAAATAAATACATAGAAATAGAATAAAATAAAATTACAAGTTTAAAAAAAAAGATAAGATTTAAAAAAATGGTCCCCGGATTTTTTTTTTTTGGGGGGGTTGCAACCCCCCCAACCCCCCCTCTAGATCCGCCACTGCTGTATGAACACGTTCACAACACGCTCATAACCCGTTACAGAACGGTGATGAAAAATGGAGAGCGGACTGACCGTTGCCGTTCAAATCGGGGTATTTATGGCAGTCGTGTCATGACGTCAGCAGTCCGGGGACTCGCTCACAGGACGCTCCGAGCGGTGAGGGGACGCTAAGTGACTGGTAGGTGGCTGCTACAAACCCGGTGCACACGTTCGAGACCCGGTATGGGCCCGGTATGGAAACGGCCAAAATTTTCAACAAAAGTCAATCTGGGCGGTGAAGACGGTAGAAGCACGTTCAACACCCGGTATGCGGCCGGTGAGAACGGTCAGAAGATGGCAACGAAACGGTGAAAAGATTAATTTTATGATTTTTTTTTTTTGCGGCCGGGGACAGGTTCGCTCAAAACCCAACGTTCTGGACTCTGTTGTTTTTTAATAGCCCGGCAGGTGGACGGTAGGCCTACACGGCAGAGTGTGAGAGCTCCATAACAAACAAATGGGAAGGGGCAAAAGCAACCCTAAAGGTGATTTTGAGCTTAAATTTACCGCTGTCTCGTCTAAAGTCTCAGGAGACGAACTTGAATCAGATTCGGTTGTGCCTTGATCCCTGTCTTTCTTCCCCTTTCCCTTTACCTTTCCCTTTCCGTTCCCGCTCCACTTTCCGCCACCAAAATCGATGTTGACGCCTCCGCTGGTTGAGCACTCTGATCCTTCATGTTTAAAAAAGAAGGAGGAAACAAAAGATTTATGTTTTTTTTTAATCGTAAAACAAAGAATCTTGAAACAACGCTCTAATCAACATTGCCTTCGAACCTCGCGTATGATGACGTACCAATACATGAATTTATTTGCTTTATTTTAGGAGTGACTATTCCTCCAACTTTTTTTCTCAAAATATATAATTTATTTGCAATACTTGCCTTGAGCTCATCCAAATTGTGTCGCATGGTTCCGACCCTCTACCGACAGCACTAATTACCCAATAAACCTAGCATTAAGATACTCTCACATTCAAAAGCATACAAGATCTTACCCATCCCCCTTTCCTCTTCAATACTGATGAGATGGTACTCCAATGCCGGTTCTATCTAGGTGTCTCACATTTAACCATCATCCTCGTTTAATGTGTAACCATTCTCCTTGGTTCCCAATATAGTACTTGCAAAATGCCACTGAAATATAACTGTTATTATTCATTTGCAACTAATCCCTACGTTAAATTACTAGTAATGAATCTAAATATGACTTACCATTGTTTATAACCACGCCCTGTTCTCCATTTTTGAACCCGATTCCGCCCTGAACTTTCAGCGAGTCGAAGTTAAGACAGCTCTCATTGGCCAAAAGTTGGACCACACCCCCTGCTCCCCCCCTCCGCATGCGGAGCCATTTTTTGCGAAAGACCCATTTCCGCCCTCAACGTTCAACGATCCAGCATCCACAATGTAGATCTATTTTCAATACAACGATATATCCGAATAAAATAATGTTGGTCTATGCAGAGAGTCACAAAGCAAAATATTTGGATGGTAATTGTTATATTGATCATTTAATTGGTCCTTATAACAACCTTGGAAAGCAAATTAAGGGAACTCAAAATAAATCAGTGCACGATGTCACTTCTTCCACAACTAGGAGTTATCACCTACACCGAATACTGGTATTCTGAAAAGTTCCACAACTACAATGAAGAAAGAAAGCAACTGTTACGTAATCTTGTGAATTTGAAAACATTAAATCTGTCATTACTGGTTATTAAAGTGCCGATCTTTACACTCTAAAAGATTTGATTTGGGAAAATGAATGCACTTTTAGATGAAAATGGTAGAGCAGGAGATTAGTCAACCATTATCGGCTTGTTACTCACAGATTTAGCGATGAGTCGAATAAGCCCACCGCTGCCACTGCCCCTACATAAGTCCTGTCCTCCTTCCTCTCCACGAGCCGTGATCTCAGATCCTAAAAAAGAACACGGATCATCATGATCAAGTAGTAATCTGTTTTGATATTCAAGGGCGGCCTTAGGAGGAGCGAGGGTGGGATGAGGGTGGGGAGGGGCAAGGGAAAGGGCTGCCCTCTATAAGGATTTGGCAAACCTGCTTAAAAGAATTTTGACAGCCTCTAAAAATAGGTATTGTTTGGTTGGAGATTCTTCAGACAGATTAGCTTTTCGAAAATATGAGAACATTCCTGTTATCAATAATAATAATAATAATAATGACTATCTATAACGCGCAAATATCGATGCGCCTTCAAAATAATTTCAGTTCAAAAGCTCCAAGGTAAATTAATAAGAATATATTATGTAGTCAGTGAATTGATAGTTGAATTCTAGGAAGAGAAATTTAAAACATGTTACCAGCAAGCAGAAGGTGGGTCTTAAGTATGGCTTTGAAAGTTTGAAAAAGGGTAAGTTATTCCACAGAGAAGGAGCTGCTGATGCAGATGCTCCCCCCTCTCAGTTTCTTTAAGTCCAGATTACCTTAAGCTCCTTATTACTATGCTATGGCGCTGAGAGTTCTGTACATGTAAACGATATGAGTAGGTTCGAAAACTGACAAACGTAAGACCTTCAATATTCTAACTACTTTGAGTTTTCTTTATTTGAAACGGTTGAGACCTTGTTCACATCAATAATTAAGAAGGTTATATTTGATTTCAAACACAATCATATCACAAAACAACTGAGCCGGTATTAAGCAATGTCATCGTTCAAATCAGGGAGACCATATACATCTTATTCTTTATCCTTGACTTTAACGCGTGAGCACTATGAGGCATGGCCAAGGTCCGTAGGGGCGTAGCTAGACGAGGTTGTGGGCATGTAAATCCCCTTTCAAAATTTCGAGTAAATGAAAATAAAAGTGGGTAAAGGTTTGTTATTTATGGCAAAATTTTAAAATCATGAGAATTTATTTGGTCTTTGCTTGCTTGAAATTTGTCTGCCAATTTACTTCAAACCACCCCCTTAATTCAAAATGGTTTAGCCACGCCACTGTTTCTCCAATCTGAAAGAGAAATGTGGTTGATAACTGACCTATGTAGATAAAACCCGCTGCGATCATCTCTAGTGCACCACCGCCAACAGCTCTCTCTGTCCCATTGATATTCGTCCACGTTCCACCTAATTAGAGTAATTAAATTGTATAACGAATGGAATATTGACCACAACAGGAAGAAAAGAAGAAAAACTAATCAATATATTGGTTCTTTATGATAGGACTATGCAGGTTGATAATTTATATGTCACAGCACTTCTTTTGTCCGGCAATGTTTTAATCTTTCATAATGCCCTCGTGAACCTCTTCGATAGTGAACTGAAAAATCACTCTCAACATTTCAATAGTAGTGAGTCAATTCTAAAGCCTATCTGCATTAGCTTGACCAGGAGGGATTATACCTCCCTGCATGATCACTGACAGGTGGTTATCTCATCGAATCAGCTCTCATTAATGTAAGAAAAGGGGACCATAGGGGACCAACGGTCACCGATTAGGTATTGTTTGCTATATAGAGGGCGCAAGCAGCTATAAGTAGTGCAGTGGGGCTTTAAACCCAAGGAATAATCAATCAATCATTAACTTCAGTAGCTTTCTTAAGTGCGTATCGCTGACAGTGACATGTTCTTTTTTCCAAATCCATCTTTATCGTGTAAGAATATAAGGATTATCAGAATATTAGAAAAGTAAATGACAGAAATGGAAAGTAAAAACAGTTATGCGAGATGAAGTACCTGCGCTTCCTCCCAGAAGATGTTCCGTTTCATTCACCAAGTAGGCCTGGCTGTAGCGGGTGGAGGGGGTCATAGCCCCGCCCATACCTCCATGCCCCGCCCCATCGGAGGAGTTTGGTGCAGCTCCACCGGGACCTCTAGCACCTGAGGAGTGGAGTCGAAATGGGAGGGGGTGGATAGAGGATGAGGGAAACAGAGAGAGAGAGAGAGAGAGAGAGAGAGAGGGGGGAGGGAGAGTGAGATAGAGAGAGAGAGAGAGGTTGGCATGGGTAGAGGACGAGGGAAACATAGAAAGATAGACAGAGTCGGAGACGGAGAAAAAGGAGACAAGGAAGACAGAAAAAAAGCAGACAGTGAGAGTCAGAGAGAAAGAGATGCAGTAAAATAAAAGAAAAAATATTAGGAGTTTAGAGAGCGAGTAGTGGGGAACGAAATAAGGAGAGGGGGAAGGGAGAGAGAGGGAGAGAGAAAGAGGGAGAGAGAGAGAGAGAGAGAGAGAGAAGAAGAAGAAGAAAGAGGGAGAGAAAGAGAGAGAGTGAAAGAAAGGAAAAAAATACTTTGAATAAGGACAACAGACACGGATCAGAATTTGAGGATGTTACCTTAGCTACATGAATATGCAATAAGCATTCAAATTGATACATTGTACTGAAATTAAATATTTCATTTTATTTTTCACGAAAATATAATGAACTAAGATCCACAAATGGATGTCAAATACTTTGACCACTTCAGAAAAAAGTAGCGATCCATGTGATATTTCAAAATAACCTTATATTATATTCAGTTTTATTTAAAAAAGCAGGGTAGTCTTTTCAGTGCCAAAGGCCTGCTTTACAAAAGAGCCCTGTACATACAAAGATTTACAAAAAATATAATACATTGTAGAAAACAAAGACATGATATACACAACATACCATAAGAGATTTAGAAAAATTATATCAAATGAAAAAAAAAATAGATCAAAATGAACATAGGGCCTAAAATATGAAACATTTAAGATATTATTGATACAATACAAAATACAAATACAAATACACATGCCATAAAAAAATAGACATAAAACCAAACGGGCAAAAGGTAAGAAATAAAACTTCTACACTACACAACTACAAACAAAACAAACAAACAAAACTAACTGTATGGTAAAAGTCATGATATAACATTAGGTACCAGTGCATGCATTAAAGTGATGGAGGGAGTGACTTAATTTGGTTTTTGAACCTTATGATAATTTTTTCTTTGGGAAGGCTATGAGGATATTGTATGCAAGGGGAAATTAATTATATAATTATGAGGCGAAATTTGGTATCTACAGGCTTTCATTCGAAAAGTGAAATGTGATGTTCCAAAATACCCATATGATAATTCATGCTTTGTGGGAGCCTGGAATAATATTGTAATACGGGCTTTCGTTCGAAAATCCCACTTAATGAAAGAATATGGAATGATAATCAATTTCCCACTTACGTCCAAATCCACCTAAATGTTGATCTGTGAATGAACTGGAATCGTTGCCGTTTTGCGACGAGTTTATGCGATCAAGGTGAATGGTTGTATTTATGATGACGTCACCAAAGGTGCTGCTCACACGAAGCGCATTTTCTCCACGGACCTCAACCCTCAGCGCTGAGCCAAGATACAGTGATCCGTTCACATTGAAGGTAGCGACGCCATAATGCCAAGTTGTGTTGAAGTCATCGATGTAGCTGTAGTAGGTTATGCTGCCACGGAGAACCACGTGCTATAGATAGAAATGCATATTAATCTAATTTGCGATTGAAATAACAATATTTCAAAACAGTTGAGTTTTTATTTCGACTTAATATGTTCCATTTAGAACAGGACACACAATGTATAATACCAATTAAATGGGAAGTCCTTGCTAATAATGTAGTTGGTTTTAACCAAAGAACACAAAATAATGATAGTAGTAGTTTAGTGAAAGTGTGAGCAAAATCTGATTAAAATTATTCAGATTATGAATTTCTAAAGTTGTAATTAATGAAGAAAAAATGGCAACGGTGTGACGTATCTTGCGAGCTCCTCTCTCTTTTGCTCTGAGCATAACATGTCATAAATGTTAATTTCCTCTTTGATAAAGTAAAGGATTGTTTCATACAGGGGTTGTATAGAAACATTTGCAATAATTAAATTTAGGGTGCATGTATGACTGAACACCTTCTTTATGGAAAACATATATTTCTGTTTTTGTTTTTTTTTGGACAGAGCAAATGGAAAGAATCAACATATTCAGTATAAAAATGATAAAATCGAATTAAAACTATGCAAAATGAAAACGATCTTTATGGGCATCACTGACAACGTTTCAAACAAAGTGAGAGCGTAATGGTAAAATGGCGCGAAACAAAATTGAGTAAATCGTCATCTTCTCCTCAAATTACTCAGAATCTTAAATTCCGCCGAAAAGGTTTGACTGGGAGACATAAAACTTCCAATCTGTCACCAGTAAACTCTCCTCGGCGTAGATTGGTCCTGGCAGATACCGGCGCTATATAAATATCCATATTAGTATCATTATTATTATCCAATCAATCAATATAGTGGATTAGGATATCAGTAATGAAGTACATAATCAAAGGTTTTAAACCATGACATTTGTAAATATATTATGGAACTCCTTTTATCTTGTTGATTAGAAAATTTACCTGAGTGCTCTTCCCCATTTCCCATAAATGTTATGCATCCTTTAATTTGTTATAGTGTATAGACAAGGCAATTCGGAGAGTGGTTGGCCTTGGGTGGGGGAGGGGGGTTATTGTAACTTCAGGTTAACAATACGTCACATCATTTCATTTGTTTTGTAACGCGCTAAGAAACTGTATTTGTATACCAGCGCTATATAAATCTTAAATATTATTATATTATTATCAAGCTGTTACTAGCGAATCTTATATTGGTAGGAAATGCCATTAAAAAAACCCGTTGATTTTGAGTAGCTGGTTCAACTTCAAAATTATAAAAGTAAAAAGTTATCAATAGATTTAATGGAACAAAAATACACAAATACGCTATAAAACTTGATGAAAAATTGCCACGAAACGAATATATTACAGATATAATCAAAAGTGAGTAGTTTATCTGCTTTTCTTTTACTTCTACATCTAGATCTACTAAGCAGATGCGTGAAAAGAAATCTAGAAAATGCACTTAACAAATGGCTTTTAAGCTCTTTGGTTATATGTATCCACAAACGTTATTCATATTTCTTTAACATTTTTGTTTTATAGGTAAAATTACTTAGACATATACTATGCTGTCTATATTACTTTATTTTGTACCTGATTCACACTTGCATTGTAGAGTTGATCACAGTCCAGCTGTTCTGGATTTGGATCTATGGTGGTATAGTCTGTTGTGCCAGTCATGTCGGTACTGACTATCTCGGTGACGTTCTTAACTATGGTAGCATTCTCGCAAAGGGGTGTGGTGGCGCCCTCTGCGGTGCTTAAGGTGCTTCCTGCTGTGGGTGTCAGGGTCTCAGGTGTCGTGTCCGAGGGGCAGGATACCCCGTCCGTTCCTGTTGCCATTCCCGTCGACTGACCGGATGTGGTCTTGTAAGGTGTGGTCCCAGGCTTTCCAGATTGAAATGTAGTCTCTGGAGTCACGCTACTTGGGTTGGTCATGCTGCTCTCAGTGCTGTCCGGGTTGGAAGTGGTTCCACTTGTTGGGTTGGTGTTAAAAAGCTGTGTAGGTGACAACCACGGCGTGGTATCATCTGCCAAAAGAATATATAAACGACCAATACCATTATTGTCAGTAAGTGCGTGAGTGCATTTTGATCCCGAACATTGAAAATTGGAATGCATCAATCTTTGTACGTGAAGCTGTATAAAAGTGTTGATGGGCGTGCTTTTGGGAACTAGACCGAATTCGACAAACTATATTTGTCTATGGTGTGTGTACGAGTGTATGCGTATAGATGATGCCACTTTTATTGATTGCTTCATATAGGATATTTCTTGGTTTAATCTAAAGATGTTAAAAGTCTCAATTATTATTAATTCATACGTCGGTATTTTGAATTGTGAATATTGATTATTTAATGCACTGGACTTTCATTGAATTATAAACATGTATATCCTTTTGACATTTGAGTCTTGTCAATTTTCTAAGCTGTCAATGAAATTTTAATTTAAAATGGAGTATAAGTAACATGATATCAGACCTAATAATAAAAAACCTATCACCTTTTATGAAGATCTGTGCGATAGGTACAGAAATAAAATACTCGTGTACTTAAAAACAAAGCGGCATTGTTTGAGGCTCACTTCGAATCATCAGGTCATCGCGTCGGGTCGGGTGGTCGCGTTACCCGACCTTTTATAAAACATGCCCCTTAATTCACAAAATGCCGGGGTAAATTACCCGACACTGTGTGAAAATCCTACGGCAAATCTACGAAAGGTCGCATGATCTTCCGTTTCCGTTTCACGAAAGGTCGTGTAACGCGAACATCCGACCCGACGCGAAGGCCCGATGAATTGAAATAAGCCAACAAAGCTTATCTTATCTTTTTTTTTTTCGTTTTATTATATCCTAATTAACGACACGGCTTTCAAGCGTAGTAGTAAAATATTACATAATATAATATGATTTGTAACTGTTCTCCGTAAAGCCATTGAATCACACAGACCCATCATCAGATTAATATATATTATATCAACATTCTTTTTTCTAGCGTGTACTTCATCAAATTAAGGTTGAAACATAGCTAGACGGCGGCGACGTCACGGCGCAGCGGTACGGAAAAGGGGATGATTGCCTTCTTGATTTAGCAAACATGGCTCGAAAATAAAAATTGTTGTTGTTGTTTGTTTGTTTGTTTGTTTTTGTTGTTGCTTATCAGCCGTTTTAGTGGCATAATGCCTCGAAAAATATAGATATGCAGGTCTTTTTCCCTGAGAGAGGTGTTTTAAAAACGTAACACACTTCAGGAAGAAGAAAAAATCAGGTACCGCACCTATTGATGGAGTATATCTTTGAAAAATATATTATTGAGAGTAGAATCACTATGAAGCTGATTTTTATTGCACAATATTTTTTGGGAAATAAAAAAAATGAGGAGCTAATCAATCAATGTCAAAACGTGATTAGGCCGATGGAAGCAAATTTTCAGAACAATAGTTTACATAATGAATATGAATACGTTAGAAATGGACGGCCTTCAACAAAGTACTTCATACAAAACGAGTTAAAAAGGATTTGAGATAATTGGATGAAGCAATTACAGTGAAACCTGTCTATAAAGACCACCCAAGGGATCAAAGAAAAGTGGTCTTTATAGGCAGGTGTTTTTTTCTATACAGGTGGTCATTTAAGCAGGTTTGACTGTAGTTAGGTGATTATTCCAGTATACGTGGAATAACTATTATATTCTAATATAATTACATTTGAAAGAAGTTTACTGCTCATCGAACTCGCGACGTTATGATGTTTTGTTATTTCATAGGCGTCGATAGAATAATGTCAAAGTTACGGCCTTACCAAATTTGTTAAATCGTATAATATTTCGACGAGCAAATATAAAAAAGCAGACTGCTTGATCTTTTTCTTTTGTCGAAAAGGATAGAAAACACTCAACAACATCATAAATTTTCCGATACAAATTTATCAATAGGGAGGTTTTGGTAAATGGGAATAGGAATATCTTGAGAGTCATCTACGCACAGAGTTTGCCCAACTTAGTTTCAGTATGGCACATAATTGCCTTGCCTAACAAAGCAAAAAGAACCATCTTACTATCTCAGTTAAACCAAGATGGTCACGCTACGACATTGTGTCTGGTTGAGACCCACTATAATCTTATTTACTATAACATCAGGGGAGCGTTTCACAAAGACTAAGATCGACTTTAAGTTGGACTTATCTATGGCAGGCAGTTCATGCCACTAGTTCCTCTAACCATTCGTGGCATTGGTTTCTCAAATCTCCAGAATTTTTAAATATTTGTATAGTTCATTACTGAAGGAAAAGATATTGTCTAAAGATCATAACTGAGAGGCCAATGGTGAGAGCAAACAGTAGTATGAATGGCCTGCCATACTTAAATCCAACTTAAAGTTGATCTTAGTCTTTGCGAAACACTTCCCATGACTTGTATTCTTTCAAATACACAATTAACACGAGCGCAACTACTTTTGACATATCAAACTAAAGCAGGGCTCCCACTTATATAGCCGAGTTGTATTAGCGAGTTATGGCGCGTTGTGGTGAGTTGCCTCAAAGAGGCACTCGCAATAACTCGCGAACAGCTCTTCTTGTAACTCGGGATAACTCGTAGCAACTCGCCACATTATGAAGAGTGCAGCACAAGCTTGTTACGAGTAATGTGAGTATATTACGGGTGTTGGCGAGTTCACCTCGAGTGACAACGAATCGGCGAAAAACTGCTCGCGACTTCAGGGAGAGTCGTGGAATGTTGTTGAGTTACGCCGAGCCATATCAAGTTGTTGCGAGTTATCCCGAGTTACAAGAAGAGCTTATCGCGAGTTATTGCGAGTGCCCCTTTGAGGCAACTCACCACAACTCGCCTTAACTCGCTAATACAACTCCGCTAAGTGGGAGCCCTACTTTTAGGCAATTTCAATAGCCTTGTCCATCACCTGTATTAAATTACCATGACGTATTACGTAATCCGAACATGATTGCTATAGGATAGGTATTGAAATTGCCCTTGACATGATTTTAATTTGATTTAAATTTTCGAAATTAATTGCGGTCGAGTTAAATGATTTGTTCAACAATCTGTTCAAAGTTTGTTCATAGCATGAATTGTCACTGTGAATATCTTACGGACATAAATCTTTCAGATCAAATCAAATCAAATTTTCATTTTCTAACTCACCTCCACTTCCATCTTCAGAAGATTCGAAATCCAGGTCCAAGTCTTCAATGGACATCGTACATGTATACGTCACGTTTTGGCCGTTTGTGACGTCATAGGATAGACATGACGTACTGTTGTCGTCACAAACAAGATACCACACGCCGCAGTCTGTATCGATGACTAGCGTCCCATTGGTCAATATCAAATCTGCATAAAGTGTACAAATATAAGTCAAGTTTCAACTATCAACATTTGTTCATTTTTACACTTTTACATTATTTTTCTAATCAAAATATAAATATTAAAAAACAGAGAAAATGAGAATCACCATAATTATGGTGAGTTTATAGGCAATATTTCGATATGATACATGTATGAAGAAGCGTACTGATGTAGTAAAACAAACGATTCATGCTTTTAATATATATTATTGTATCACAACATTATGACGGTAGAAGGGAGGAACAAATTTCCCTTTGAAACAGGTTAGTGGTCATATTGTACTAAGTAAAGAAAAATTATAATATGAAGAAATATTTATAGCATGGAAATTAAGCGCTGTACTGAATCTTAATATCACTGCAAAAGATTCATCGCTTTCGTCTCTTTAAAGACATGATTATACGCTTATTACCAGGAATAACGATGCGTTTCCTTTTAACCCAATTAGTCCTCTATTCCATGTTCCTAGGATAACATAAAACTATTTGCATAAAATCTATAAGAGATGGATGGTGGCATAGAATTGGACGGGTTTGTTGATCATTTGGAAGTACGAGATGGGGTCGGTTAGATTAGAAGTGCAGCAATTACTCTAATTAGAGGGAATGAAGATGAAATATTTATGGAAGGACAAGTAAGATTGTTGAATAATAAAATGTTTTATTGAATAATGCATTTTTTTTCTGATCGTAATACCGACTTCTCAAAAAAGCATGCTCGTTAGCCGCCTCATCTATTATTAGCTCACATCATAAGTGAATTGACCGATCATAACAGATAGATGTTTAATGCAATATATTCTCATCAAAATTAATTTACCAGAATGAGGGGTCATCTCGACTCGAAATGTTTAACTGTGTTGCCCTAAATGAAGAAGAGGGAGATATGAGTAGGTCTAGTGTTTGTTTTTGTGTTTTTTTAGTTTTAGTTTTAGTTTCTTTTATTTCACACGAAGAAAAAAAAACATTAACAAAACAAAGCATATTTACAAAATTGATATTCGTGAACAATAAAGACATCTACATAGCATAAGTTTGTATGACATTTACACTTAAATAATTTCGAAATTACATGTGAAAAAAGGAACTTAATAAAAAGCATATATCTTGTAGAATTTAAGTTCCTCAAATAATTTTGACACAGTGTCATTCATAATAACAAAAACAATGAAATGATATGGATGATGGATGTACGAGAGAAGAGAATAGGAAGAGAAGGTTAAGAATGAGGGTCAGAAGAAGGATGAGGAGAAAGAAAAGGAAGTTTTTAGAATAGAATGTTCAAGGTCGCAAGTCACAGTCGGGGAAAAAATAGTATCGTTGTGCATTACATGTACGAATTAAATAATAACAATTTGATATATTTTTTAAAGCGGCCACAGTTTTTAAGCTGTTTGAGATTCGGATCAATGGTGCTCCAGTAGTTTGGTCCTGTGTATGAAATAGTTTTTTGGGCGAAAGCTGTCCTGGTTAGAGGAAGATGATAGTTTGCACGTCATTTTTTGTTAAGAGTTATGGCTGATGGGAGTTCTTGGCGAGATCGCTGTCTTCGTCTATGAACCGAATCTGACAGACCTCGGTTCGAAACTTAAAAGATGTTAAAGGTCGGTCCCAGACGTAAGTAATCAGGTTCGATTGACACATGTTTGTAAACTCTTAATCACACAAACACACACACACCAAAATCACACATCCACGCACACTTACACAAAAATCACGCTCGCACACCCACGCACACAACCCAGTGACCCACACATATTTACAGCAGACTGTGATCTGTGTTGTAATAACTAGGCGTTGTGGCGTGCGCCTGTAATCCAGCTAAAAAGTGGAAGTTACCAACTGATTCAGCCGAGGACGCAGGTTCGAAACTGAGTCACGTCTTTCGGATGGTGACGTTTAAAGGTCGGTCCCAGACGTAAATAATCATATCTGATTGATACACGTCTGTAAAAATCCAATACACACACACACACACACACACACTGTAATGTGCACATCATTATGACAATGAAAAGTGTATACCTTGTATATCATTAATGATGTTGTCTGACTAATAGGCTTTGATATTGATTTAGATCTATGCCATGCCCATGGTAACTTAATTTATTAACCAGTAATTAATTAACCACTTCACATTTTTCGTAATATCAATTCAAATTAACGACGTTTTCTTGCCTGTGTAATTATTGTTCGTGGTCGCTTTTGTTGGGGTCCCGTCAAAATTCTTTAAATTAGAAATTTGACCCAACAAAAAAAGGGGGATTTAGACAATCATTATCTTAAATTTCATCGAAGTACGTATAACTGAAATACATCGACCGTTATTAGTCCATTCGGTGCCCTGATTGAAATGTAATGAAATATTGATAGTCAGATCTAGAACTGACACCAGATATCGGGTAAAAACCATCAAATGCTTTCACCCTACCCCTTCAAACGAATATCGTTATTAACAGGAAAATATTAAATTATAGTTAGAATAAATGCCCTGTCGATGGGTTAAAGCGATAAAACCCATTTCACCTAAACAAAAGGATTATGAAATATAAATGTGTGAATCCAGGTAAGGCCTTAATTTGTGTCCGACAAATTAAGTCCTAGTTTTTGTCCGTCAAACAAAGTGCTAATTTTTATCCTTCAAATAAAGTCCTCTAAATTTTGTCCATCATAATTAGGTTGTCCTAATTTTTATCAGAGCGATGAAATATAAATGAGTGAAAATATTGTATAAAGGAAAGAAGATAAGATATATGCAGGTTGGCGAGCAAAGCTAATCGTATAGTTATGAATAATGTATTGATAATGAATTTCCTTTTCTCTTCACACTTGCGTGCATGCACATACATTTTTGTCAAGACTTAAAGCCCCTTTCACACCGGGCCATGCGTAGAGTTGCGTAGTGTTGCGTACCGACTTCGCCGAGGGTACGCTGGCCTACGTAACTATGCGATGGGGAACGCAAAGGGGTACGCGAGACGGACGCAAACAAATAAACATATTTAATTTTGTTGGCGTACTTTCGGCGTAGACACTAGACGCATAAAGTACGCATTTTTTACGCAGGTCTACGCAACACTACGCTATAGTACGCCAAGCCTACGCAATAGTACGCTATCCTACGCCAATCCGTCGAAGCAGTAAAAGTTTGTGCACACTGACAGTAAGCAAACGTACGCAACCGTAAGCAAACCTGTACACCAGGCCTAAGTAAACTTACGCAACCCTGCGCTCGTGATACGTAATCGTACGCGTAGGTACGCCAATTGCCTATGCCGTAGGTACGCGATGCCTATGCACAGGGTACGTAACCATTCGCCATCGTACGCCAGCCTTCGCATAACCTACGCAGCAACTACGCCGAAGCAACGTTTTTTCATGAATATGTAGGCAGCCTAATATCGGCGCAGTCGGTACGCCACACTATGCAACTCTACGCAGATTTGGTGTGAACGGGGCTTTACAAAAAAAAAAAAAAACTGTTTGTGTACTTTAATATCAGTGGTGCGGTATGAATATCGGTTTCACACTCGTGCACAACGCAATTACATGTGAAAAGAATAGGGCGGTAGAAAATTGGGGCAAGGGCAACGAAGTTTAATATAAAGAAAGAAGGCATGAGAAATAAGGCAGGAGAAAGAACCCAGAATGTGGAATTGTACGTGTTCGTGTGTATGTGTGTGTGAGAGAAAGAGAGAGAGAGAGAGAGAGAGGGGGGGGGGGGGGGGAGAGGGATAGCAAGGGTAAGGAATTAAGAGTGGGGAGAGAGATGACATGTGACTAAATAATAAGACTTTGTGAGTCAAAAAAAAGTTTACACCTAGAAAATTGCTAATTATTTTAAAAATCATCTATGAACAGTAAATTATTATACATCTTATGAAAGAGCGTTTTATCCCAAATCATTTGGTACCATTTTTGTGTGGTATGTGTTTACGCTTGGATGAACATGAGGCATTGTTTGCGAGAGTGCAAACATCGACTTGCGCCAAATGTGATGTTTGAATAAAACAATTGGGATTTGGGTATTAATTTGGTCTTTGAAGATCCAAATAACATCACTAACAAAATTAATCATACCACACATTTCAAATGTCAACGAACATTTGTGCGCGTGTGTGTGGGTGTGTGTGAATTAGCCATCTGCAAAAAGGGGAGTGTTTGTTTTGCTTGACTGCTAAAGCATGTGTGTGCTACTATGCTAATCAACTAGGGGACCTACGTCCTTAAGTTATAACTGACAGTAATGGGGATTAATGCCTCATAAAAGGGCACTAATATAGTTCATCGACACTGTTTTGATCCTGGGGGCTCACAGTAACGAGGCCATTGCTTAGCCAATGAATCATGACTGTACGCAGCGGGCGCTAGGGTACGTCGACGCCCCCACAAAAACAAAAAACAAAGAAAATGAAATAAATTTTCAATAATTCACTGCATTTTCCCCCAGTCCCCAACAGGAAAAAATCCTCTGTAGGGCCATGCATTATGGTTCAAGGCATGCCCACAGAAGATTTTGTTATGTTGGGGGTTCGGAGCAAAATGCAATGAATTATTGAAAATTGATTGCATTTTTTTTTCTTTTTGTGGGGGCGTCGACGTACACAAGCACCCGCTGAGTACAGTATTGATTCATTGGCTAAGCAATGGCCTCGTTACTGAGAGCCCCCAGGATCAAAACCGTGTCGATGTGATATATTATTGCCCTTTTATGAGGTATTAATCCCCATTACTGTCAGTTATGACTTAAGGACGTAGGTCCCCTAGTTGATTAGTATTGTAGCACACACATTCTTTAGCAGTCACGCAAAACAAACACTCCCCAATTTCCATTCAATAAAATCTGAGAATGTATACTATTATCTAGATCTATTAGAAATAAATCACTGTCAAAATTATTCAATAAATTGGGGTAAAAATAATTATTCCACCATTATGACCAACAGTGTACATTCAATTTGATTTGATTTGATTTGATTTATTTATTTCTGTTTGATTTTCTTTTTCTTTTGCATTTTTACAAATATATAACAAACAAATATTGCAAATTTACACATGACAAAAGAATATATGTAGAATAAAGTAAGGCTGGGTGTAACTAATCGAGAACATCAAACAGGAGGGTTGACAAAATAAGCAAAGCTTGATAGTATGACTACCAACAACTGTAGGCATCACTTTGGCGCAAGTCGATTTTTGCACTCTCGCAAACAATGCCTCCTGTTCATCCAAGCATGAACACATACCACACAAAATTGATACCAAATGATTTGGGATAAAACACTTTTTCATAAGATGTATAATAATTTACTGTTCATAGTTGATTTTAAAAATAATCAGCAATTTTCTAGGTGTAAACTTTTTTTTTGACTCACACGGTATAGCCGGGGGTGGGGGGGGGGGGGGGAGCTTAATACGCCCCCCTTTACATTTTTCGTGAAAATTTTTTAACGTAAAAAAATAAAGTCCATTCGGTGCCCTGATTGAAATGTAATAAAATAATGATAGTCAGATCTAGAACTGACATCAGATATCGGGTAAAAATCATCATATACTTTCAACCTACTCTCTCAAACTAATAGCGTTATCAAATAGGAGAATATTAAATTATATTTTGAATAAATGCCTTGAAAAGCCTTTTGACGATGAGTTAAAGCGATAAAAACCCATTTCACCTCAACAAAAGGATTATGAAATATAAATGTGTGAAGCCAGCTAAGGCCTTAATTTGTGTCCGACAAATTAAGTCCTAGTTTTTGTCCGTCAAATAAAGTACTCATTTTTATCCTTCAAATAAAGTCCTCTTAATTTTTCCCGTCATGATTAAGTTGTCCTAATTTTTATCAGAGCGATGAAATATAAATGAGTGAAAATGCATTGTATATAGGAATTGAAGATAAGATATATGCAGGTTGGCGAGCAAAGCTAATCGTTTAATTATGCATAATGTATTGATAATGAATTTCCTTTTCTCGTGACACTTGCGTTCATGCACATCCATTTTTGTCAAGACTGAAAGCCCATTTCACACCGGGCCATGCGTATAGTTGCGTTGTGTTGCATAACGACTACGCCAAGCGTACGCTGCCTAGCTACGCTGGCCTACGTAACTATACGCTAAGGAACGCAAAGGGGTATACGCGAGACGGACGCAAAAAAATTAAACATGTTTAATTTTGTTGGCGTACTTTTGGCGTAGACACTAGACGCAGAAAGTACGCATTTTTTGCGCAGGTCTACGCAACACTACGCTACAGTACGCCAAGCCTACGCAAGAGTGCGCTATCCTACGCCAGGCCGACGAAGCGATAAAAGTGTGCGCACACAGTAAGCAACAATACGCAACCGTAAGCAAACCTGTACACCAGGCCTACGTAAACGTACGCAACTCTGTGCTCGTTATACGCAATCGTACGCGTAGGTATGCCAATTGCATACGCCGTATAGGTAGGTACGCGGTGCCTTTGCACAGGGTATGTAACCATACGCCACCTTACGCCAGCCTTGCATAAACTACGCAGGGACTATGCCGAAGCAACATTTTTTTCATGAATAGGCAGCTTAATTTCGGCGTAGTCGGTACGCCACACTACGCAACTCTACGCAGATCCAGTGTGAAAGAGGCTTTACAACAAAAACAACTTGTTCTGTACTTAATAATGAATATCAGTGATGCGGTATGAATATCAGTTTCACACTCGGGCACAACTCAATGAAATGTAAAAAGAATAGGGCGGTAGAAAATTCGGGCAAGGGCAACTAAGTTTAATATAAAGAAAGGGGGTATGAGAAATAAGGCAGGAGAAAGAACCCAGAATGTGGAAATGTACGTGTTCGTGTGTATGTGTGTGTGAGAGAAAGAGAGAGAGAGAGAGAGAGGGGGGGGGGGGGGGGAGCGCGCAAATGTAAGCAATAAATAGTGGGGAGGTAGATGACATGTGACTATGACTTACCATGATGATTTTTTAAAGCAAACAAATCTTGCGCTGAAATTTTATCACTTGCGCATCTTTTGAAACAATTTTTTTCGAAAATCGGACCTACTGCTACAAGTTACCTGACATTTTGTCTTTGCATGTCAGCCCGAAAATCGCTCATTTTCCTTATTTGTGTACAAAACATATGGAAATATAATTTTCCGAAAAAGAGATAAAACTTTGGTTATTTGGTCTTGTTTATAGTTTAGGATTTTATGCATCAAAATAGTAGAATTATAGCTAGAAATTAAATAAAACAACAAAAACAATAAAATACATAAGTTAAAATACAAAGAAATATATAAGAAATTATCAAAAAAATAGAAAACATAAGTAATAACCCGGCTTTTCCCAAATTTTGTATTATTATTCCAAATGGTCTAAATAATATATGTAGAAAAAACGAATGTTTAAATATGAAGAATATAAGACTTAATGGTAAAAAATGTGAATTTTGTAATCTTAATTACATAAATTACCATAAATATGCAAATAAGTGACGTTTTCATTTGACATTCATGCAAATTTCCGCGGCGATTGGCCATTTCACGGCCGAGATCTTAAGGGGGCCAAATAAGCCCCTCCCCCTCCCGGGCCATGCAGATTCAAAATAGCCTGGGCTATTTAGGGTAAAAGAACACAACAAAAGATTGTGTCCCCATCCTTTCAAACAAGAAGGCACCTAAAAATGTTTTGATGTATCCTCTCTTTTTTGCTTGCTACAGACTTTTTTGAAGACGTAATTTATCATCTGAGAATTTGACTACTATTTCTGAATATTTCGGAATTCTACCTCCCTTGTTTTAAATTCCGGATACGCCCCTGGTGTGTGTTTAAAGAACTTCCTCAGGAGGGTTAATTAAATGTACGTAAAATTATAAGAGAGCAGAAGGGGGAAATACAGGAAAATAGAAGCGAATGGAGAATGTTTACAAAGAAAAACGGACAAAATGGACAAAATACTTGGGAGGTAAAAAGAGAGAGGGGAGAGAGAAAAATAGAAAGAGTAGGAAAGGAGGAATAGAGATAGAGAGGGAGAGAGAGAGAAAAAGAAGAAAAAAATATGTAAGGATGGGCAGTGCACGACGGAAAAAGACAACAAAATATATATATATAAATTCCGGGCGACGTAAAATGTGCATTTTATCAAGAGATAAACCTTGAGAAAAAATGGACAAAGGAGAAAACATGAGCCAACAATGAATGCTTAAATTACTTTGCAGAACCCATCTAAAGAATAATTCATGAAATCATGTGGAAATAAGCGGAGAAAGCGATTATAAAGGAATTGAAATAAAAAGGAGAGATGTAGGGAATATATAGGTGCTCTAAATCCCTTCTGTATATCCATCCATCCAAAAGATATTTGATGTAGCGCCTTTTCCTTGCTGTTACAAAGCGCCGCACACACTCTCCACATATATGATTGGGGATTGTATTGGATGGCGCATCCATGAGGCACGAGGGGTGGGGGCGTGGTCCCTCCCAATCAAAATTAAGATTTACGTAATACACGATGTGCCCATCCCCTGTCTGGCCCAAATTCTGTGCCCCTTGTGTCAATTTGAGAACCTTTTTATTGATCTATTATTATTATTATTATTACTTTTTTTAATATATTTTTTTTTGTGGGAGGAGTTATCAGATTCAAATGTGACCTCATCGCCTACCCTTCCAACCAGTAAAGGATACGGAGTCCGACGCTCCTTGTCAGACCATTCAGGGTACAATATAACTGCTCACTACATTAATTTGCTTTGTAGTTCCGATCAAAAGATCGCGCATGAGGCTGCTATTTCAGTTGTTGGCATAAATTAAATATTTACTGACTTGCTAAAATCCAAAAAGAAGAGACAATAACGATGATTTAATACTGGCTAATTAATCGGAAACAACTGGGTGACATTGAAAACAAAGTACGTTTTTATCACAAAGTTCATGTTCTGTGCAGCACTAGGAAAAATCATGATTAAGCACATGGTTCGAATCTTTGACTGTACTCATACGTCATTTGGCAAGATATTCATCTATATACATTTGCCACTCTTGGCCCAGGTGAGGTAAATCAGTACCAGGTAGGAAGAGACCCTTTGAATATTTGAGCACTTCAACAAATAAATGTGAAGAACATTGTAACACAAGGAAGATAGCCTATCATCATCATGATTGTTAAGATCATCATCGTCATCATTAATATCATCAATATCATCATCGTCGTCATCATCATCATCATCAGCATCATCATCATCATCATCATCGTCATCATTTCATCATTATCATCATCATTTTCATTCCTAGCAGCATCAACATAGCAATATACATACAGACAGGCAACACAAGCGAGCAGTTAAGTATATGCCACTCACCTGTGCAGTCGTGGGTACGTTGACTATTACAGATAGACCCGACGAGAACCTGAAGAGAAAGACAGACAGTTCAAGTTCAAGTTCGTTTATTTAAGTTCAAGTTCAAGTTCGTTTATTTACACTCATCATTAAAAATACAAGAACATATACAATCAAATACGGAATAATCACACATAAAATATCATACATTCAATAACAACAAAATAACATAACATAATGGGAGTGAAGGGATGAGCTAAAAAGGAGTATGGTCCTTATGCTAGAGCCCATCCCTCAGTATGATATAAATAAAAGGTGAATTAAATTAAATGACAGAGAGAGAGAGAGAGTGAGAGAGAAAGGGAGAAAAATAAAATAGAAAAAGAGAGAGAAAGAGACAGACAGACAGACAGAGAGGGGGAGAGGACGAGAGACAGAGAGAAAATCACGGAAAAGTGAATGAGAGAGAGAGAGAGAGAGAGAGAGAGAGAGAGAAAAAGAGAGAGAGAGAGAGAAACGGGCAAAGAAACGAGGGCGGGGGAGGGGGTGATATAAAGAAAGAGAGAAAATGGAGGAATTAGTTCGAATTATATCAAGGTTTCAATAATTTTCAGTAGTATTCAAAATATGAAATGAAATCAGCAAATAAGCTTGTAGACAAGAAACTTGTTTTCCATTGTAACAAAATACAAGCTGCATGGGTGGAAAAAATACTCCCAAACATACCAAATGCACGCCGATTGGATTTCTTAAACAAGGTAATTTGGGGTGCAGATTTTTGTCTTTATAATTGCTTCATAACCTTCAAGCATACCTTGTCATTAACACGTTTCACCTTTGATTGAATAGATTGTGAGCTTCATCTCATCGTTGCATAATTGATGTACGCCAATTAATTAATCAGTGAAACTATCGAATATAACCTTATTCACTGAATGTACAGTGTAATTCAGATGCAGATGTCCGCATGTTCTTTGATTTCTGCTAAAACACCTGCAAATTCATGTATATCGAAATATTTGAGGAAGAAACTTTGAAGGGGAAATGTATTCCAAACTGTGAGCACACGGCCGAAATGTATGAATAATTAAGAGTTGGACTACTTTTTCGCTCATTGTTTTTCGTAAAAATTAAAAAAATTCGTAAAAGTGCCACAATATGATTTGATTCTCCTCTTTCCTCCTCCACCCCTTTGTCAATAGACAGAGATTGTATTGGGTAAATTGTCGAATGTATTTAGTCTATTTGGAGAACAACAGTTTTATATCATGTGCTTCGTTATGGGGCATGTTTGTTTCAATCAAACATTATCTGAAAAAAGGCTTTCCTTCACTTTTCAAATAAATTTTTACAGTTAACATCTGCTATGCATTCTATAAACTACATAATAATATTCATTACTGAACAAATCCTTATATTAAATAGATTGCCCTATATAATGTGCCATGTATTACCAATGAAATCGATCAATCGAAGCTTCGTGTCTTTGTCGATACACCAAGTATTTTTTTTTCCTCCTTCAAATGTTCATTTTTAATTAGAGCACAGCAACTTGTTAATATCTTTTTAACATGGTATTACCTGAATAACAGATTTTCTTCCACCCTCCGTTACATATTCTTACAGCTAACATTTACAATGCATTTTAAGCTACGTAATTCGAGTCGTTAATAAACAAATTCTAATAAAGTAATTAGATCACCATGTATTAATTTTGCCATTTTTCAGTGAAGTTGATCGATTAGGTCTTGTCAGGCAAACTGCGTCCATAGAATCGAATCTCCTTGACTTTATTGTCTGGTCGCCATATTGGCTCCTAGTGAAGTGAGAAGCAAATAAAATAAGACTGTCTCCCATGGCGATGGAATATTGTGCTTCCAAAATTGATTCATAAGAGATGAAGCATGATGTTGATAGTAATATGATAATTCCTTTCATGGTGCTCTAGTTGAAAAAAGAAGATAATAATGATGATGATGATGATGATGATGATGATGACGGTCACAACTACCATCACCACTCTTCTTCTCCTCCTCCTCCATCACCACCGCCATCCCCTCCTCCTCCTTCTCCTCCACCTCCTCAAGATAATAATGATGATCATCATCGTAACAACCACCATCGTCACCCCCTTCTTTTCCTCCTCCACTACCAGCACCACCACCATCCCCTCCTCCTCCTTCTCCTCCACCTCCTCAAGATAATAATGATGATGATGATGACGGTCACAACCACCATCATCATCCCTCTTCTTCTCCTCCTCCACTGCCATCACCACCACCATCCCATCCTCCTCCTTCTCCTCCACCTCCTCAAGATAATAATGATGATGATGATCATTGTTACAACCACCATCATCATCCCCCTTCAACCACCTCCAACACCATCACCACCACCTCCCCTCCTCCTTCTTCTCCACCTCCTCCTTATCTTCATCATCTCCACCATCCTCTTTCTCCTCCTCCTCCATATGATCACTCCTGGTAATGATACCAAGAAACATTATACATTTTTCGGATGGATACAAAAAAAACAGTTTCCTCAAACTGCTATAAAAAAAAATTAAAAAATCATTATTATCCAACCAATCATCATCATCATCGTCATCACCATAATCATAAAAATGTTTCATACTAATCATCATTAATATAATCAGTTATCATAATCGAGGTTTTCTATTTATACAATGCGAATCACTTATCCTCACAGTGCTTTTAAATCCCTCCCCATTCTACAGTTTTACAATATTTATTAAAATCTGCTTGTTTGTTCATTTTTGTACAGGGCCCCATTATTACAAGCTTTGCTTATCTTGGGTCCTTCCGATTTTGCTGTTCATTTACTTTGAATTTTAATGGAAAATAAATGAATTGAATTGAAAGTATCGTGCTTCGTTTTTCGAGTATTCACCTCCCCATATTTTGAAAATGTTTATTTTACCCATATGTTAAACATATTGCATATTTCGAAAGGAGAAGATGAGTGTGACATACAATCAATTAATCTTTTAATCAATAAATCAATCAGCAATTCATGTTTTCCAATAAGAAGGGAAAGGATGCGCCTCGTTTTCCTCTCCAGGTCGGTCTTTTTAATATGGTCGATGTTGAGCTTTAACGACATTTTCCAATTTCTTCTTTTCTCGCATAACTCATTCGTTTGGTTTCATTCTCTTAAAAGATAGCAAAATGGTGGAGAAATTCAAAAAAAATAAAGACGGAACTTTGGAGAGCACTATAGAAAAATAAATGTCTTCGTAATACAAAAAAATTGGCACGACAACAACTCTCTGTTCCATATCTGTTTGTCTCATTTGTTTAATAAGTAACATGAAATTCAATATCAATGGCGTGAAAGATGAAACATTCAATTAAATCTGAAATAATAAATGCCAAACATGTTCATATACTCTAAACAAATAAACTTACCAGAATCAACGTGAGGCAAACACCGAATCGCTGTGCACCGCTCCCGACGAGGCCCGGCAAAACCACCATCACACCGTCCATCCTCATCCTGCAACTCAGGTCAGTCCACCGGCGACGATTAAACGAAAACACAAACTCCACTGCAAAGCTCTTGCAACATTGACATATTTTCGCATCTATCCTATCCTCTCTCGCAAATTTTAATAACAGGTCCGTCCCCTACTGATAATTGGTTGGTCAAATAGAAGCGATGACATTAATTTCATCGAACGCGGGGGAAAAGTCAATTGTAGTTCTCTCGGAAGGTTAGTTGGTTGGCATGTAATTTAAAAGTCACACCGCAGTGGGATGTCTGGGTGTGTGTCCTTATATGCACCACGTTTCTAGAAAATCGGAGGTAGAAGTTACGAGTATTGAATTGAACAGTGATGATTGCTTGGAAATTAATCACTGCTTCCTTTACCCATCATAGAGAGGGGTCTAGGCGTCGATGTCTTTTGGAAAATATGGTAATTCCGTTTTCCTGTGTAAGCACAAAAGCACACTTAGACTTTCGATCTTTTTAAGGTTATAGATGCACACAATATTTAAGAAAACAATCTAAATAGAATTTAGATATCAGTGCAACAGTTTAAGACAACAAACATACAATGAGATGCTCAATGCAAAAGCAGCCCTTGTCCCGTCGAAACGATACTCAAGTTCTTTCATGAGGAAAATGGAAAGAAAATCTGATGCATTGTTACGATCTAGACGCTGATTGGTTGGAGGTCGTGTACCACGTGACTTATGGCGCCGCCATAATTGCTAATGTGTATTACTGTGAGATCGATGTGCATATGTTTAAACACGGGTTGCATTTATCCTTTTTAGTTGTAAAACAACTTTGTTGACTTTGTCTTTGCTTACATATCAGAAAGTTATGACTAACTACGAAGGAAAATCATTTTTTAGACATTTCTATAAATAACTTAAATTATGTACATATAAGTTGGAAGACGTGCGACCACTATCAAGATTTTTAGGTATAGTAAGCTAGATTTCATAATTTAAGCTTGCCCTATGTTCCGTACTCACAGGAAAATCAGGTGGTCCGACATTAAATTCAGCTACATTTTCCGCAGTATAGTTTCGTCAAAGATTGGGTTACTTGGAAGTTGAGTTTTGGGTTAAGTTTTGGGTTAGGGTTAGGGTCAGGTGAAGTGTTAGGCCTACAGGATTGACCGTTAGGATTCAGTTAGCGTTAGAAATGACCGCAGAATTATTGTTGCAGCAATTTACTGTTCTACAATCGACACGCGAGAGATTTCAAAATGCCGAAGTTGAAACTAACCTAATGCAAATTATTGATAGTGCAATTAATATTTATTTTTTTGCTCTTAGAATGATAAGTAACTGTTCGTTAGTTTCCATTATGTTTGTGTAATATCAACATATTATGTTCTCAATACTTTATCTGTAAAGTGCTTATAGACATCGTCGATGTATGAAGCGTAATATAAACCCCGACTTATTATCATTATCATTTGTAACTTGTATTCAGCATAATGAGGTTCTCTTTTATTTATGTGTATCTATCTTACTCCTGTTGTTCTTTTGTGCACAATACAGACACCTTTGGGATTAAATTTTTGCACGTTTGCGCCTTGAGCATTTGATTTCAAGCGGATTCGGCTCGGTATAAATCTTATCATTATTATTATCTTCTTAAATTTAAAACAATTTAATACAATCGAGAAAATCATGGTGCGGGGCCATTGTACTTCTTTTTTTTAATATGAATTCAAAATCTTTATCTAAAATATGCACCAATATGAATGCATTCGGATTGAATAAAAAATCATTCGTAAAAAAAGAAAGCATATCATCGTGGTTGGACGGACAGTCCGAATTTGCATTAGTGTAAAGGTTTTTCTCTCGATAACTCATTTATACAGTTACCTTGGGTGTCTACATGTATGTCCGGTAAAGATATTAGATTCGCTGTCGAGTAGTGATTGATTAGGTGGATTTATTTTTAATTAAATTTGTATTAATTATTTTCTATGGTTAATGAAGTTTTGTTTTTGTTTATATAATGTTTTTAAATCATGAATTAAAGGAACGAATCTAAAGTTGAACAAATGAAATAAAATCAGATAGACCATTATTATTAATAAACAATTAACATTTAAATTATCATCAATATGAAACAAATATTTAAAACGAATCAGGTTGCAAATGAATCTAGTTGAAACGGAAAGTCAGACAGGAAAATTGATAACATACAATAACACCAGCTGTATTTCCTAACGACATTTCTTCATCTTTTATAAGCTTTTCCGTGCTGTACCATCTAATCTCATTCATACACTGTTGTACAACACCTTCGTCATACACATCAAAACGTCAAACTCACCGGATATACATTTATAAATCAAAATCATTCTGGAATTTCGTGTCAACAAAAACCTGATAAAAAGACAACATCAAAATAGACAACACAACACAACAAAACACAAGAAAAGAAAGCCCCCAAAAGCAAACAAACAAACATCAAACGCATAAATATCAATGAATATGTTAGGAACTTAATGAAAAAGAATAGATTCATGGATAACCGATTCTCTGACAGGCAAAATCTGGATAGGAATATATTATCTTCGAAATGTAAAAATGCAATATCCATCGTCGCCTTCATTAATCCCCTGATCCCTGAAAACGGTAACCATAACAGCAGCTTTTTAACTGTACATAAATTAGTTAGAATATCGCTCTTAATCGCATCGATTTAAGCGTTGGCTCGCGAAATTGGAAGTAATCAATTACACCATGGAATATAAATTGCGTAAAAGGCTTAACGTGTCGACAAATGTATGATGCCAAATGGAGTGATAACCAATCTAGTGCAGCTTACCATTCAGCGATCGTAATAATAATATTGATAAGAGGCCATTAAATTACAGCATAGGCGAACGTGGGGGCAGAGAAGAGGAGGAGATGGTGGCTGCATCTCCGAGAATTGGAAACCACAAACTTTTGGAGATTTTTAACCTTAGGCGTATATTGTGTATTTTAAACCAGCTAAAACACGCGAAATGGCTTTGAATGTATGCACAATGTGTCAACACTGGATGTCACTATTTTTTTCTCCTCGCTCGTTTACAAATTTAGAAACCAGAAAGTTGATGTTCGGGCAGAAAACGTCAGCCCTCCCCAGCGAATTTATTCCCGTATGCATGTGAATCAGACTCTCTTGTGAGAGTACCCGAGGTCTCATATTAATTAACGCAAACAATTAATTTAATTAGGCTGGTATATATTCTCAGGAAAATTACGGACCGTTATTGATTGTTTTAATGATTAAGAGTCTGCATATAATATTTGCACAGATCCTCCTCGAAGTCTCAAATAGCTTGATTTGCTGGTCCGTAAAATTATTCAAGGTCTTTCATTTCTTGGCAAATAACCTAAATCAATAACTCTTTCTTTTCAATTAAGGGGTTGGGATAGATATTCGATAAAGGGTCGAGGTTGTTAATACCTAATGGGTGAAGCTTTGAGTACATAATTTTGTTTAGTTGAATTATATAAACCTATCTTACGATACATGAAAATATATTGATTAGTTTAAAGCAATATAGGCATTGTCTTATTGTGTCCTCAAGCACGGCATTTTATTCACATTGCTTCTCTCCACCCAGTATTAAAGGCTAGTGGTAGTGGGTTTCACGAGGAATTCGACACCATTAGGGCGTTTACCCAATATCAGGTGTTTTCAATCACAAAGAGTGGACTTCACTTTTACGACCGAAAGCACTGTGTACTAGCCTATTGAATTTTCCTCACCCTCGAGATATGAAGGCAAATTGAGAGTATTTTCTGGTGGGACCACGATTTCGCTGCTTGAGAGACCTGTGCACGCACAGACAAATTCATCGGTAATTAAACCAAATTCGGTGTCAGCGAAATATGATGCGATTCACATGGACTCTAGACTACTATGTGGCTTTTAATGCATGCCCGTTAGGATGCCAAAGTCACACTATAGTTTTCTTAGCATTTCATTATAATCAGGTGGGCTGTATCTAATACAGACCACCTTATATTTTTGTTAAAATTGCCTTTATTTATTTATTTATTTATTTATTTCTTTATTTCTTTATCAGGTGGGCTGTATCTAATACAGACCACCTTATATTTTTGTTAAAATTGCCTTTATTTATTTATTTCTTTATTTATTTCTTTATTTCTTTATCAGGTGGGCTGTATATCGTACAGACCACCTTATAATTTCGTTAGAATTGCCTTTATTTATTTATCAGGTGGGCTGTATCTAATACAGACCACCTTATATTTTTGTTAAAATCGCCTTTATTATTTATTTTTCTTATTTCGACCCACTTTTTGTTAGCAAGATATCTTTGAAATGGTTCAATCAAATGCTTTGATATTTGGCACACATATGTATAGGCATATGGACAAGACACGGTAAGGTTTTCAAGCTTGACCTTGACTGATGACGTCATCTAGGCGCCATTTTGTGAAATTTTCTGAAAATCATCTCATGATCATATCTTCATAACCAAAGGATATTTCTCATTCATATTTATCATGATCAAGGTCAATATCAGTCCGGTTAATTTCAGGTCAAAAAACACGCGCGTGCGCGTATGTCCGCGCGTCAGTGCGCGCGCAAAATTTGAAAATGCTCAGAATCGTCTCAAATTTTTTTTGCATAAGTTTCAGGTCATTTTAAGCATTTTATAAAAAATCGCGCGCGCGGGCATGCGCGCGCGTTTTCGCGCGTTACACCATTACACAACATAGAATCGCCATTTTTTTTTCTTTCATGATATTTCTCATATTTTTTCTAGGAATTTGATACCATGTTTATCTTTTTATGACCATTAATAACAAGATGAGCGTCAATTCAAGATAAATGTCCGTGCGCGCGAGCCCCTTTATTACATAGCATATATGGGCAAAAACATGCCTATACAAAATCCATTATAGCTCTTTGGAATGAGCCGTGACCTTCAATGTTTTTTCATATTTAGATAGAGTATGAGTCGGAGATATGATTTCATGTCTCATTTGGCCATTAAGTGTATCGTGACATCATCATAATGACCTTGGAACTCAAAATACGAATTTGCATATAATGACGTCAGCAAATTTATGTAACATTGATTGTATCTCTGTAAATATTGATCGATTTTTTTCCAAATTTCGATATGATGTAGCTGAGACAATTCTCTACAAGCTCAGTCAACACCATTTTTCATTTTGATGACGTCATTGTAGTAAAAATTTCGATTAAAGGCCTCATGTCAAAACTTTATAATTTGCGTGTTATGCATTTAGAAGGTGAATTTCGTTTACGTCTTGAATATACATGATATTGATTTTTTAATAATATTTAAGCAGTATCTCGCTTATTTTT